TCCCGCTGTGCTGCCCATCGCCTCCACCTCGCGGCCGGCTCTCCCCGGGCTTCGAAGGCCTTCTGTGTGAATGTATAGCCCGCGCGCGCCGCACCGCACCGCACAGCAAGTCGCCTCTGGACCGTTGTTGTAGCATGCCAGTCAATCTTTGGCTTTCCCTGGGCTCAGGAGGACTCACTCCAGCTTCTTAGATTGGAGACTCTCTTAGTTGAGTGCGAGTCCCAGTATCGAGCTTTCTCTACTCCTGAATGCACGTTTGTGTGGTAGGCAGGGAGAAATGACAGTTTTCAGAGCGACATTAGCTGAAAGGATCTACTCTCTGTTGCAATTTAATAATTCTGGGCGCTAGGCGCTATGAGGGAGGACCCCAGTGGTGGCTGCGATGAGGCGGTCTGGACACGCAGTATTACTCCCTCCCATCCTGGTTCTCTTCACAGCGCTGCTCCTTTTTCATGTTTGTCTCGTGAACTTCATCCAGCTCCCGGAAAACAGGTTTTGTGTCAGCTTTCTGCACTGATGGATTCCTGACCGCATACTAGAGTGGGTCTCTCACAGGGAACATTGACTTGGTAAATGCGCGAAGAAGTAGTTTAAAGGAGGGTGCATACATGTAAGCAAAGGTCCAAACGGTTGAGGGTAGATAAAACAAATCTCTTACATCACCGTTTGCCTCTTTACATGCACTTTCTTTTTATGGTAACTGTAGTCCGAAACCTTCAGGCCCCGCCCCCTTACTTTTGTGCCCTCCACAGGGGCTCCGCAAAGTCTACCACATCTTCCTGGGCTGGGCCTAGGCCCTTCCCCATGTGTCCAGGGCAAGAGTGTATCCCTTCACGTGGGATGGGCTCTCAAAAGTCCCTTCTTACACCAGAGAAAAATACTAATCCACCACCAGGGGCGCCCCAGAATGCAGAGGCCTCCTCATTGACATCCATGTTCAGGGGTCTGGATCAGTCCTGTACTGGCCTCCCAGACAGTATCTGGGGTCGATGTGTTACCCCTTGTTCAGACCAGCTATGTCTGTGGGTTTCACCACCCTGATACCGACCCCTTCGCTTTTCATTCCTCCTTCTCTGCAACTACGTTCCAGAGTTCAGTTCAGTGTATATCTGTGGATGTCTGCCTCTGCTTCCTTCAGCCGCTGGAAGAGGGCTCTGAGGCTAGGGCACACGCCCCAGCCAAGTGCTACTTTTATTACACTCTGATAATGCATATTTTGCTGTTACCCAGCATAATGGAACCTTGCGTTTGTTTGATCTTGAATAAAATGTTTGTTAAGCGGGGCGGTGGTGGCTCATGCCTTTAGTCCCAGCACTTGGGAGGCAGAGGAAGGCCTGGTCTACCGGATCGAGTTCCAGGACAGCCTCTAAAGCCACAGAGAAACCCTGTCTCGAAAAACCGAAACCAAAACAACAAAGTTTGTTAACTGAAATAACAGAACCAGGGATTGTTTCAGGGCTATTTGTACTTTTGTGAAATTGTCTTACCTCTCCTGGGATTGTAATTATATACTAAGTTAAAGTAGCCGCAGTGTTTAAGCTCCAGTTTGGCTCCAAGTCCGACATTTGAAATTTTTGGCATCTTGTAAGTCATTTATGAAATGGGAAGACAGTTGTTGGTTTTATCCTTCTTAAGCTTATTGTTCCTACTATAGTGTTTAAGAAAGTGATATTTGCTGTGTTGTTGACATTTACACTAAGGAACATTTGTTTACATTCAATATGAGAAGTAAAACAGCTTGCACACTTTAGAATTGGGTTTTCCTGGAATGGTGAAGGACAGGATTGTGAAGTTTGAAAACTCCCTTTATGATGATGAAATGTGGAAATGTTACTGATTATATATGTTGAAATTGATCACCATCTTTAGATCTCCATGAAGATTGTGAATAATGTATTCCCATCAGTGAAAGTGCTTTGGGTTGTCATGTAAAGTAAGAAATTAATGGAATGACTGAAGTAGGAAAACTGGGAAGATGATGCAGCAGGTTACAAAAGAGAACCAGTTAGGAACCAGTTTCCTCTTCTGTGAAATGAGCATCCGCATGCAGATAACTCCATGCTTTTTAGTTACAGTGGTCTATGATTTTATCAAGAGTCCAGCTCAGCTAGTTGGTCTGGTTGTACATTGCAACCTTGCACATAGCTGATGAAAAGGTTCTGGTCTGGCATACACTACTGACTCCCCGAGTTCTCATCTTCAGAGGTATATTATAAATGTTACAGATGTTCCAGAACTTTACAGTCTAGGTTGAGAACCACTGTTTAGTTCAGACATTTATGGAGCATGGCTGTGTCTTGGACACTGTTCCCAGGAGTGAGTGGTTGTGGCTGCCCTGCATCACCACCAAGTCCGAGTATCAGGCAAAAGCCTGGAGATTTAGATGGGAAGACAAGAAGTCCAGTCCTTTTTTGAGAGACTGTCTCTCACCATTATTGTGGAGCAGCCTTTTTTACAAACTTACAAAAACCTCAGGTATAAGGGTTCACAACAGGATGTTGATGCTAGTGGAGTGAGGTCAGGAAAACAGGAGGTACCTGTGGTTATGCTGGAAAACAACACATAGAGACCCTGTTGGGGCTGGGTCCCAACAACTGGTGAGCAAAACAGACTGGTGCCTAGCTTTATGGAGCTCACAGCTAAGTGCAAAAACATACGCCTGTCAGTGCTTCAGAGGAAAAAGCAGGGTGTTAGAACAAACAGCTTATGGCTTAGTGATAGTTCCTGAAGAAATGATAGTTCAGCTGAAGTAGGAAGGATGAGTAGAAACTAACTCAATGAGATTAGATGGGGAAGAAAGATGGTATGTTCTGAATGTTAGAGTAGATATGAAGACCTTGAATCCTGCCGGATCATGCTGTGTTAGAACAAAAGGAGGTAATATGGCTGGGAGGCAGAGTGTGAAGGAAGGACTGAAGAGTTGGAAGAGGACTAGAGCATGCAGTACAGTACCTTTACAGCTAGCTATGTGGTTCCTTTCCTTTATCTACTAATAGGACCTCCCAGACAATAAGATGTCTAACTTGAAAGTTCTGTTCACCAGAACATATTTAATGGTTTGGGAAAGACATGATGCTGCTTAGAGCTAGTGGGTGCATCATAGTGTAGAGGAAAGGGCATTAGTGATGCATCCTTAGTATTCAAGGATTCGTTTCTTCAGTCAGATGGAATCACCATGGAATCAAACTTGGATAGGGAAGACAGTGACGATAGGAGGGAGGCAGGAAGTACGAAGAACACAGAGGAACTGACTGGCATGCAGGTAGCAGTGAGGTCAAAGAACGTTTGTTGATGAATGATGTAAAAAGCTGGAGATAGGAGGTACCGTCAGGGAGGGGCATGCTTGAGTTCATGATTTGGGAAGTATAATAATAGTTCTAGTGGTGGCAAAGTCCAGGGAGAGAGTGAGGGACTTGAAGTGGAGAAAGTTGGTAAAAAGGAGGTTAGGGAGTTGAAGGCTCAGGGTGTTAGATGGGTCTTGTTTGTGGGCTTTGGAGAGACCCAAGATAATGTAAGAACAGGGGTGGAGAAGAAAATTGACCAAAACGGTGTTAGATGCACCAGAGGCTCACAGCTGGAAACCTTAGGAGAGACTGGCCAGAACTGTGGACAGCAGGAGGTAGGTGTGAGAGCAAGGAGGCCAAAACTCCCAAGGAGCTGGGTGGTAAAGTAGTGAACACTTCAGGGCTGGGGTAGCCTGAGATGAGGTGGAGATGGTAGGGGAGCTCTTTACAGATTGGACAGCATGAGTGTGGAAAGCTAAATTGGCAGCAGGACCAGTAGGGTGGGTTAATGGCAGGAAAAAGAGGGCTCGTATTGCTTAGGCTGGTGAAAAACCAACAAATAATAAATAAATAAATAAATAAATAAATAAATAAATAAATAAATAAGGGACTGGAGAGATGACTCAACTTAAAAGCACTGACTGTTCTTCCGGAAAACCCAAGTGCAGTTCCCACATGGGGGCTCACAACTATTTGTAAATATAGTTCCAGGAGATCTGGTGTCATCTTCTGGCCACAGGTACCAGGCATTTTCCTAGTGCACAATCAGTGCAGGCAAAACACCCATATTCATAAAGTAATAAATTAGAAAAAAGAAAAAAATAGGCCTGGGTGATGTCTGTTTGAGGAAGGTCCACAACATTTTAATGGACTAAAGCCAGGGTTCTTTTATCTATCTTGAAGCAATGTCAAACTAGGAACTACAGTTCCAGTGAGAGGTGGTGAGTTCTCTAGGTATCTGGAGTAACAGTAGCATTTCCCCAATTAAATAAGAATGTGAGAATGCTAGCCTCAGTCAGCAACAGAATTTCAAGAATAAACCTCTTAAATGCTTGCTGTAATTTCTCATAGAGTTCTACAACCGTAAGAAAGTACCCGGGACTCTGCTCCTACAGAGGGGCTGCTGGTGGAGGCTACCCAGAGACTAGGAAAGCAGTTTCTAGACTGCACCCAGCACTGCTGACTCAGACTGCATTTGGACGAGACACTCAGGAGGCTGCTCTAGTCAGATACACTGTTTCTTATCCAACTTTTTATTACCCCACAGAATACCCCACAGAAT